GTTCCAAACTCCTTTGGAAATTGCTAAAAAACCCAACACAAACCAAAAAAAACCCAGTTTTGTGGCCTAGTGTTGTGCTTGCTTAAAATTTCTAATTTGAGTTCTCATCTGGTTTATTGATCAGCCCTTCCTTTTAAAAGTCAGTCCCTTGCAAGTAGAACCAGCCATTTCTCCTTTCTGTGCTGGAAGTCACACGTGGACACCCTTTTAAACACGCATTGGTGAATTTGTTCTTCATGGATTTGTCTAAATCTGTATCAATGAGAAGACATCCACTATGGAAAATAAGAGAGGTGTATCGCCACCACCTACTTATCAGCTGTGCAGAGTTTCTATGCCAGTAGGAGCATATTTGTCCAAAAATAAGGTCATGCTCATGTGCACATTGCTACAGCAAGGCCGTTTCTTTGCCAGTTGTGATTGTTTGAGGGTTTATTTTCTAACTGTGAAGCACAATCAGGTTTATGGTGCAAAAGAATGGAACAGAAATATTTCTGCTTTGAAGACAAAGGCCCCTGCTCTTCTGTCTTTATCAACATCTCTATCAGTCATGACCAGCATTGCACAGGCTCTGAGACCTCCTGGGGGAGTGTAAGAAACCCAGAAAATAAGTTTGACATTGTTAAAATTGTGATATATTCTACAAATTTCTGTCCTGCCTGTGCCCTCCTTCAGCAGAGCTTCGAGGAAGGCAGAGCAGAAGGGGGACCTTTGCCCCAAAACCTTTAAAATGTGCAGTGTTTGACAGCATTAAATGGATTCAACACCATCACACATGTAAAAACATTATAGTTGTGCTATTGGACTAAATATTTTAGGGACACAGGGAAAGACATGGTGACTTCCAAATTTTCCATGCAACTTGAAGTAAAGCAGCTTACTAAGGAAAAAGAAAGTGGAGTCAGGGCAGGAATATGCAGCTGTACTGAGTAGGATGTTCCGAGTCTCTTCCAATTATTTCAAGTCATTCCTACACTCCTGTGAAGTTGCTGATTTGGGGAGTTTGAACATCCCTGGAGATCCTTCATTCCCATTTCACCAAACCTTTACAACCTCCTGGGCTTTCTCTGGCAGGGTTGCATTGGAGTCAGTGATAAAGTCATAGAATCTTGGAATTATTAAGTTTGGGAAAGATCTACAAGATCATCGAGTTCGTGGGAGCTGAAGGAAAACTGATGTGGTTGCTGGGACAAAACATCCAGAAATGAGTGTTCTTATGTGCCTACACAGCAGTAAGTGCAGAAAACTAAGGCTGTGCCTGGCGAAGGTGTGTGAAAAATTTCTGTGTCCTTTGAAATGGGACATATTTCTCACTTTCTGCTCCAAATAAAAAATTCAAGTGACAAGTTTCTCATGTCTCCAGCACCAACGGATACCTGAGGAATGGGCTTCAGCCTGTTCTGTTCATCCCAGACTTACACCTGTGGATCTGATCCCCACCCTCAGGCATTCTCTGTAATCCTGTGAGACTTTTGTGTGGTAAGAAATGGGAAGACTAGGAAGGAATTCAGCAATATCTGATTGTAAATGTGGGGGGTTATGTAAAAGCACTATTATTAGAAGGAAAACAAACAAACAACAAACAAACCTGGTTCATTGTATTCTAAATGAGCCTTTTAATAGACTGGCATTCTCAAGTGGAAATGTAGAAAGGAATTTATGAAGGGGGAAAGGACAGATTTAATCAGCACATGGGATTTTACGTTGTGTTGCCAAGTCTGATCAAGGTGAGACAAGACTGGGGACACAGCTGGGAATGGCTCCAGGGTCATTTGCTCCATCACCACACTTCTGGACCATGATTGTTCTCTCTGCCTTCATCTCCTCAGCTCCATGATTTCCAGAGCACATAAATAGCAGCCTTTCCCTGAATAAATGGTTCTAATGTGCCTCTTGGACTGCCTTCCAAATTTTCCAGCAGCCTCCAAAGGCTGTGTCTAAACCCAAAGCCTCTCTAACCAGAGTGGGAAATGGTTCCTAGAGTTTGTGGCCTTCCTGGGTATGGTGGAAAATGTCCTTGAGTATAAATGGTCTTGCTTTCCATTAAAGTACATAATGAAAATAAAGAGTTACATTTCAATCAAACTCCACCAATTGCCTTCATTTCTAGCTGTAAAGTGGCCTGTAAATCTTGAGGGTCATTCAAAATAAAAAGAAAAAAAAACAACAAAAGAGAAAATACCATACAACAGTTGCATTGCTTGCGTATTTTGAGGTTAACATGACTTGACTGTGTCTCTTAAGCTTATTTAAACATTTAATTTCGTTTTCTTGTTCTGTCCCCGACTACATATGGATTTCACAGAGGTTTAACAGGACAGAAGAAAGTTCCTCGTAATTGAAACAGGCTTTATGCACGTCAGGATGTTTTGTTCAACACTCTGAGGGAGAAAAACATGTTCTTTCTGTCTAAAGTGACTTAATTTCAGATTAAAGGGAACAGCTGTGAGAAGGGAGACAAGTCTTCCTTGGAAGAGCATCACCAACAGAACAGTTGCTGAAATCTGTTCAAAGGGAATAATCTTGAAACTTTATGTTTAATAATACAGAGAAAACAGAGAAGAACTCATGCAGCATAAATCATAAAATCATAGAAACATTGAATCACACAATCACACAATCATAGAATGGTTTGGGTTGAAAGGGACCTTCCAGATCATCCACTTCCATGGGCAGGGACACCTTCCACTACCCCAGGTTGCTCCAAGCCCTGGCCAACCTGGCCTGGAACACTTCCAGGAATGGAGGAATCCACAACCTCTCTGAGCAGCCTGTTTCCGTGTCTCAACACCCTTCTAGTAAAGAATTTCTTCCTAATATCTAATCTAAACCTACCCTCCTTCAGCTTAAGACCATTTCCATTGTCTTATTACTCCTTGCCCTTGTTCCAAGTCCCTCTGCAGCTCTCTTGGAGCTCCTTTAGGGGCTGGAAGGGGCTCTGAGGTCTCCCCAGAGCCTTCTCTTCTTCAGGCTGAACACCCCCATCTCTCCCAGCCTGGCTCCAGAGCAGTGATGCTCCAGCTCTCTGATCAACTCAGTGGCCTCCTCTGGACTCATCCCAACAAGTTGATGTCGCTCCCATGCTGGGAAGCCCAGAGCTGGATGCACCACTCCAGGTGGGATCTCAGCAGAGTAGAGTAGAAGGGAAGAACCCCCTCCCTCACCTGCTGCCCACTCTGCTTTGTCTGCAGCCCAGGACACGGGTCTTTGCATTTACAAATGTCACTGGAACTGCAGAACTTTTGAACTTTGCTGGAAGCCTTTGCAGAGCGTTTGGGAGCACGTGGAGCACTGAGGGATGAGTTGTGTGCTGGCACCACATGGCTCCACAGCCAGGCTTGTCCCAGCTGCTGTCAGTGATTTATGGCAGGAGACTTGATAAGCCAACTGATAAATGATTCCTCCATTATCATAAACAGACGTGGCCCAGCATAGATTATAATTACAGCTGGGAAAAAACAGCAAAACAAAAAACAAAACAAAACAAACAAACAAACAAACACAAACAAAAAAACAAACCAAAAAACTAAACCAAAACCAAAACCAAACCAAAACAAAAACAAAACAAAAACTACAAAACAAAACAAAACAACAACAACAACAACAAAAAAACCCAAACCAAAAACAAAACAAAAAACAAAATTAAAAAAACCCAAACCAAATCAAAACCAAAACAAAACAAGCAAAAAACAACAACAACAAAAAGAACCCCCAACCAAACAACAAAAACAAAACAAAAAAACCCACAAGCAAAAAAACCTAAACAAACCAAAACACAAAAACCCAAACAAACACTCCAAAACAACAACCAAAAAACAAACCAAAAAACAAACACAAAGGTCACAAGGCTGAGTTTAGGTGAATGGTTTATTTAATATTAATTTTTTTTTATCTTATTCAAGATTAATCCCACCTTCCACTGAAGGGCTTCCAAGGTAGCTTCAATAAGCTCTACATTTGGAGATCAATATGTTTTACATATGTTTATGTCATGTGATCTGCACAACCACAGGATCAGCCTTTGATTTCAGGATGTTTGGGTGAAATACAGTTATTGGAAAACCACAGATTTTCATTCATGTGAGAATCAAAGGAACACATCCTGAAAGGGGCTGAGCACTCACCAACTCCATTGGTTTCTGTGGGAGCCTGGTAGTACTTGGTCTTCTAAGAATTAGGCTTGGGAGATGATTTGAAATGTTTCAATCTGAAAAATGAAGTTGTAAACCACTAATGTGTGAAATTTTTAAGTTTTGGTTTGGGGTTTTTTTGCTTATGTCTTCTGACATCAGTGAAGAGCTGACTTGGATCCTTGTATGTAAATAAATCAAGTGAAGTTCAGTCCCAGGGTGTTGGGAACATGGGGGCAAGGAGATGACTGTGGTGGGTTGACCCTGGCTTGGTGGTAGGTGTCCATCAAAGGCACTTTTTCAGCTGGACAGGGGAGATAAAATATAAGGAAATGCTCATGTGTTGGGATAAATGCAGGGAGAGATCCCTCACCAGTTACTATCATGGGCAAAACACACTCAATTTGGAGAAATTGTTTTATTACCAATTAAACTGGAGTAGGGTAATGAGAAATAAATACAAATCTTCTTAAAAAAATCTTCCCCTTCACTTTCACTCCTGATTTTCTCTTCTCCACCGTGGGCATCCGTGGGCTGCAGGGGCACAGCTGCCTCACCACGGGCTGCAGGGGAATTCCTGCTCCAGCACCTGGAGCACCTCCTGCCCCTCCTTCTGCACTCACCTGGGTATTTTCAGGGCTGTTTCTCACTCATCTTCTCACTCCTCTCTTAGGTTGGAGTTATACTCATCTTTTTTTCCCCCCCACCTTCTTAAATCTTAAATCCCAGAAGTGCTGGCACAGATGCTGGTGGGCTTGGCTGTGCCCAGTGGCAATTCCATCACGGAGCTGGTTGGCACTGACTCCGTTGGACATGGGAGAAGCTCCTAGAAGCCTCTCATAGGAGCCCACCCCCCACTACCAAAAGCTTGCCAGGCAAACCTGACGCAACAACCCACAGATCTGGTCATTTACTGGCTGAGATTATTTATAAATTCCTGTTGGAGGTGCCACTTTTTAGTGGGCTCATTGGCTGTGTGGAGTTTTAAATGTGGAAGGAGGGAGTGTTCCTGATGAAGATTTTTTTCTTTTTTTTTTCTCCATTCCAAAGTGGTTTTATTTAACTTCAGGTGTAAGAGTCATTTCTTCTGCTGCAAGAGGGGAGAAGATGCGAGTTTGCCCCAGCTCTGGCCAGAAGCATCAGCTGATCGGATGCAACACCAGTACTTCAGTTATTAAAATGCTTCAAGTAATAAAAAGCTTTGATTAATAAAGTCTCTTCACTGTGTTGCTCTGATAAACCAAATACTCAGCAGTAAGAGAAAGAAACTTGCAATTAGTTACATATTCCTTTTGTAGGGTTCTTAGCTTTGTCTTTGGGCAGAAGTATCAGTTCACTGGTATTAGACATCAGTGTGTGGAAGTGTTTTTCTATAAGAAGGAGAGAAGAAGGAAAAAAAATCCCAAACATTATTGCTTAAATATTATTTTGAATTTTTAAAGCTAACCTAGTGATACTAAAGCAATAGCAAAGGGAGAATATGTATTGAAATCAAAATGTTTTGACTGGCCTGAACTAAACTCCCATTCACATGCCCAGCTGCTGGTTTGTGAAAGTGATCCCGGAATTTTGAGCTCATTTCAGGCTTTTGTGACAGTCACTTGAGGTATCTTCAACTTCTTCTTCCAGTATGGAAAATTGTTTTCTTGTTTAACTCTCCAGGTATCATCCCTGTGAAAGGGGATAGACAATCCTATACAACACAGAGGGATTTTGCATTTCAAGCTCTGTCTGCCAGTGCTCAGGCAAGGAGGCTTTTCTTGCTTCCTCCATTGATTTAGGATTCGCATTCTGAGCGCGTTGTAACTACAAGGAAATGAAATTCTCTCGCTTTCTGCTAAAATAAGAAGATTTACTCGGGGAAACAACTCTGTAAATACCACGTACTGCCATCTATGGCTCTGCTCGGGAAGCACATTGGCCGGGAGAGCCCTGCAAATGAAGCTGCTTTACAGTGACAGAGAAACCTTTTGTTCTGACCGAGGCTTTAAACAAGTGGCTCCAAGCTTCCAACAGCTGTTGAGGGAAGATGAAGTCCCCGGGGGAGGGAAATCCCAGTTCATCCCACTCCTACCTGTTTGTTGCCAGGGTCAGCAAGAGATGCTCAGGGCATGGAGAGGGGTTGCAGGTCAGCAGGAAAGCACCTGAAGAGCAGCACAAAGGAATTCCAGCCATTCCAGATGGGAAATTGGCTTCCTCGGTGATCCAATTTAAATACCTCTAACTCTAAAACCTGCAGGATGGGGAATAAACAAGAGGAGTTAGAGATGTGCACGAGCCTGCAGGGCTGTGATCTTACTGGCATCATGGAGATGGGGTGGGATGGTTCCTGTGACTGGATTGGGATGAATCCTATGACTGGAGTGTTGGAATGGAAGGATACAGGCTCTTTAGGAAGCACAGGCATAGGAGATGAGGAGGGGGTGTCACCCTGGATGTCAGTGACCAGCTGGAGCACATGGAGCTCCTTTTGGGATGGAAGAGAAGCTGAAGGAGAGCTTATGTGTCAGGATTAAGGGAGGCCAGGGACAGGTGACAGTAGAGTGGGGGTCTGCTGCAGGCCACCCAACCAGGAGGATCTATTGGGCTTTGAAAAACCTGGCCTAGTGGAAGGTGTCCCTGCCCATGAGGTGGGGTTGGAACGAGATGATCTTGAAGGTGCCTTCCAACCCAAACCATTCTGTGACTCTGTGAAATGATGCTGTAATTATCATCACCATTGCTATTTTTACAAGTTGTTCAGCACTTTCTCTCCTGTAAATAAAGTTTCTGAACAAAGATGAGGAAGAGATGAGCAGTTGTTAGAGAAATTCCCTTTATGTGGCCATTCGGTTTTGTCTTCACTGGCAATGGTGTCACTCTGGGCCAAAAGTGCACTTTGTTTTACCTTCACACTCTTGGTACTCAGCCTCTGGTTCCTGGATCTTCACCAGCTTTTGGCCTTGCCACAGGAGAAGGAATCCCTCTCCCTCCATAGTCTGGCCAGAAGTGATGTGTAAAGCTCCTGTGATCCTCACAGGAGTGTGTGTGTCAGGGAATGGACACGTGGAAGAGGTGGGGGGAAGAGGTAAAGGAAGCTGGAGCCACAGTGACTGTAGGTGGTCATTGTGGAATGGGAAGGCAGCAGAAGGATGTCATGAACATCTCCTCCCCACCCCTTCTGTTCCTAGTCAGGGACTGGGGAAAGAGAAAAGCTCAGGATCAGTTCAAAGCTCTGGAAAAAGAGGAGAACTGTGAACATTTAGGCTTGTGGCTCCATCCCTCCTTCCTGCTGCCAGAGCCAGCACCACAAATGCTTTCAGGGGTGGGTTCTATCTTCTCCCCTTGATGATTCCAGAGCTTTGGAACTCTGGTGAGTGGCTTCTTCACCAACATTGCAGTCACTCATCCAAGCTCCATCCACCGTCACTGGCCATGACTGTGTGTGCTGGTGCTTGTTCCCCTCATTAGGACTCTTCTTTTGGACTCCATGAAGTTGTCCCCTGACCCTGGTGTGCAAAGCAGGCTGGTTAAGGGAGTGGGCTGGAGTTAGGGTTTTCCATGCTGTCACTTGGGAAGCTGGGACTGCTGCCCTGCCTCACTTTACAAGTCTAGAAAATGGGCTTAAGGCTAAATTCTCATTTTAGGAGAAGTCTCTTTGCAAGTTGTCCAGGAATGGAGGACTTCGAGCCAAGACACTCCTTGAACACAGAAAATTCCTTCCCTTGCTAGATACAACCCATGTGAGGCGGAGCAGGACTTTCCTCCCTTGCCCTTAGGACAGGCTGTGATTGCTGAGTTTGACACGTGATGATGTGAACATTAACACCCCTGAGCAGCTCCTGCCAGCAGAAACCACAGCTGGTAACAGGAATGAGAAGTCATTAGAAATATGTATAAAAAATTGATGACAACAACAACAAAAGTGAGGTGGAAACGACAAGCCAGCAGCCATGTGAGAGGGCAGAATGGGAAAATCCCTTTCAAGTCCTGTGTAAAGCTGACTTATTCCATCCTTCAGCAGAAGGATGTGACTGGCTGGAAATTTGAAATGTTTAAGCAGATCTTTAACCAGACACAATGCAAGGTGCTATAGATGTAAACACAGTGGTATCTGTTGCTGGAGGGGAAGTAAACTGATTACTTACAAGCTGTCCTCCTTTGCTGTTATCCTCTTCAAACACATCCTCTGAGAATCCCAGGCATTCCCTTTTTTTTTTTTTTCCTTGCCATCCGCATTTAAACCTCCAATGGCTGGGGTTGCCTCTGGAAGGAGGGGGCTCCTCCAACAAACTGAACTCAGTTTCTCTGCATTGGCATTGTGCTTCCAGCAGATTTTAGGAGCAGATATATTATTCCAGAAGAACCACAATCCTACCTTTCCAAAGTGGGAGGTGGGAGGACAGAGTTAACAAACCTAAACCAGCTCTGAACAGTTCCCAGCCCAAACAGCCTATTTCCATCTGTAGAAGGTGCTTCAAAAGAAGGTGGAAAAATTGGGCGGATAGAAAATGTTTTTCTCTCTCTTCCATGTCTCCCTCATGTACTTTGTAGTCTGAGACCCACTTAGGCCCCCCAAGCAGCTTAATCCTTCTCCCAAAATCTCTTTACAGATTCCCAGGGGTGCTGCATTTATCCATGGAAATTCCCACCCCATTTTTTGCTCTTGACCAGTGTTGCCTCTGACAACAAGAGGCATTTTCTGTGCAATAAGTGTGTTCTAAATTCAAAGTGTTTGTAAGGGTAGAGGGTTTGTTTATCTCTATTGAGTTTGCTGGGGGGGGATGTGACAAAGGGAAGTGGAAAATTACAGCTGGATCCAACTCAAGCTTTTCAATCTCCAAAACCCAGACAGAAAACAGACCAGGAACAAAGGCCACAGAGCAGAGAAGAGAATTATAGTTGCCTCTTGGTTGTGTTTTTGGACAGCAAAGCCGGTGTTTGTCATAAAACCCTCCCAGCACCTGTCATGGGTGGGTTACCCTTATAGCACCATCAAGATGGTCTGGGGATGATGTGTCCCAGAAGCTGTTGGGCCTTCTAATCCCTGCTTTTGCTATTCCTGTCTGCTTCTCTTTCCTCTGGGAATGACACTGGAAGGTCCTGGTGGTGCCCTGAGTAACTTCAGGAGTCATCACACCATGTTGTGATGGGACAGAGGTTGCCAGTTTGGGATGAGCTGAGGCCTTTTGGTCATTTCTGCACAGTTTCAAGCAAAACAGGGCAGGGATCTCTATTCTAAGTCTTTCTGTGTCATAAATAAATCATATAGCCCCAGGGCTGGGCAGGGTGGTTCCAGCAAGGCCCCTCCATGGGGAGCAAGGGGGACAACCACAAAAAAAAGGTGTTCTTATGTGTGTTGTTTTAAGAGTATGGACCATTGTCTCTGTGGATTACATGCTTTGGTTGTTTTGGCAGAATGGAAGGAAGGGTATATGTCTCCCCAAAGGCAGATTTCTAGGAGACCTGATGTTTTGAGAGCATCTCTTGCTCTGTAAACAGACTTCTTTGCTCTCCAGGTATCCTACAGGAGTGAACTTCACAGGTCCCTGTGCATTGTGGTGAAGTTGTTTCCTCTTCATCACTTCACAGATGTGCAAAACCAGACAGAACAGGTGAGTTATTACATTTGATTACCTCAACCCATTGCAGACCCCAAATCCTCACATGTCCTGTTCAGTGTTGCAGCTCACCCTCAGTTCTCCCTGGAGGGCACACAGTGAGAGCTGAGGAGCTCAGGCCTCTCTTCTCTTCATTTTTAAGGTGTGGGTCATGTTTACCCTTTTGTTAAATGAGGGTCTGGGGATCCACAAACTTCTCTACTTAGGCCTGGAAGGGCTGCAGGGACATTTTTCAGTGTCTTTGGACAACGCTCTCAGGTACGTGGTGGGATTCCTGGGGTTGTCCTGTGCAGGGCCGGGAGCTGCACTTGATGATCCCTGTGGGTCCCTTCCAGCTCAGGATATTCTATGATTTTATGATCCACTGCATTGAGTACAGTGCCCCATTCCCACAAAAATGTGTTTTCCATCACCCCCCATTGCAGCAATGGGGACTGAAAATGGGGTTTGGTTTTTTCAGAGGCACTTTCTGGCACTTCTTCCTCGTGCTGAGCTTCTTTGCCCTGCAACACAGGAGAGATTCCCAGCTGCACCTTGCTCTGTCTGGCCTCCCCAACCACAAGACAGGGAAGATGAGCACCCCTCACTCCCCCCACCATCCCAAAAGCAAGGCAGAGCTGCCCCACGGGGCTCACAGGGGCAGGACATGCTTGTTAGGCTCCTTCAGCCAAGCACCCCGTGTTTCCCTCCAAAGCTTTCCCCTCTCCTGTTTCTACCTGCCAGGGCTGGAGAGAGAGAAAGAGAAGCTGGAGAAATAGAGAAGAAATCCCTGGGGGCCTCGGAGGCGCAGGGAACCTTCTTGCAGGAAAACAAACTCCCGAAAGGCTGGAGAGAGAAAGGGAGAGATTTCCATTCGGAGCATGCACGGCGCTAATCCAGCATAGCCGCCTGTCGGCTAAAAACACGCATTTCAGGCCCCAGCTGCCCCTTTGCTCCAGTCCCTGCTTAACTGGAGATGTCACAGATGCCTTTGGCCGGCGATGCTGCAGTGCTGGCTGGGGATGAGGAGAGGCTGGTTCGCTGCGCTCCACCACAGCCAGGGCTTGCTGCTCAGCTCCCCTGAAGGAAGGATTTTCTCTCTTTTCTCCTTCCCCGCGAAGTTTTTTAGGGATATAAGAGGTTTGAAGGTGTGGAAATGGGGGTAAAAGGACTGGATGAGGTGAAGGGAAGGGAGGAAAGGGAAAGAAGGCCGAGAGAAGGGGGTGGAGGTGCCCTGGAGAGTCCCTGGGGGGAGAAATGGGGTGCTCTTCACCCTCCCTGAGGCAGAGGGATAAAGGTTGATGGCAGATGGGATCTTCACCTCTGCCCCTCGGGCAGGTCTGTGCCCCTCCTCTGTTGAGGGGCAGCAGCCCCGGGCAGGGAGGGAGGTGGTTTTGTAAGGGAAGGGGGTGGTTTCCCCATTTTGGAGTAGAAAAGGTTAAAGACAAGGGGCAGGTCCTGAAGTCTGACAAGATTCTGAAGATCCCCAGCTCTTCTCCCCTTCTCGAGCCTTATCCCTCTCCCTTCCGCCCCCTTCCCAGACCCCGTCCTCTGCTCGGGAGGCTCCTCATTCCCGGGGAACCTTCCCCGGGCTGTAAAGCCAGAGGCAGCAGCTTTGGCCCAAATCTGCTGGGATGCAGCCTGAGCCTTTCACCCCAGCCCATCTCCTTCTCCTCCATCTGCTCAAACTTTCCCTCTCCCCCCCCTTCCTGCTACCCCTGGGGTGTTACGTGGATGTGATATCCCCCCCACCTCATCCCCCCAATATTTTGGGTTAATGGAGCAAGGAGTTGGGGAGGATGCCAGGAAAGAGGCAAAAATCAAACAATTAGGAAAGGGTTAACGGCTGTTGCCGTCTCCTGCCCTGGTGCAAAGCCACGGCCAAAACGGGGTGCTGGGGGAGGTCCCCCCATCACCGCCCTCCCCCCCATCACTCCCCCGCCTGCCGGGCTGAGGGGCTGGGGGACCCACTGCCCCGCTGGTCCCCGGCGCCCTGTCCCGTGTCCCGTCCCTCTCGGCAGGCTGTGAGCTCCGGGGAGGCTCCGGAGGGGCAGTGGGAGAGTCCCCGACCCCCATGTTCCCGGCGGTACCCCGGCAGCGCCGAGCCGCGTCTCTGCGCATCCCTCTGCGGGCGAGCGGCACCTCTCCGCGCCGAACCTCCGCAGGTTTTTTGGGGAGCGGGGAGGGGAGCAGAGCCCTCGCCATCCTCACCACCACCTTCCCGGCTCCCTCTTCACCTCCTGGCTCCCCGCTTAGGGCTAAGCTGTCCCGGGGAGGCTGCGCTGCCTGGGCTCAAGCGCGCTCCGGCTGTCGCTGGGCTCCTCTGCTCCATCCATCCATCCATCCATCCATCCATCCATCCTGTAGGCTAGCGGAGCATGCCCGATGCGATACCGTGTCAGTTCGGGTCCTTGCCTATAGCTGCCTGTTTTACAAAGCTCCGATCCGTGCGTGTGCGTGTGTATGTGTGTGTGCATTTCATCCCTCCCTCCTATCCCTCCCTCCCTCTCTCTCTCTCTCTCTCTCTCTCTCACTCTAATGTGTGATCTGGAAAGCTTATAAAAGCCTGATGTAATCCTTAATGCAGCCCCTGGCTACAAAGACTGGATCTAGTTTCACAGAGAGAGATTCAGAAGCAGAATTTAAAAAAAGAAAAAGAAAAAAAAAAAGAAAAGTGGGGGGAGAAGAGAGAGAAAGAAGGAAAAGCAGACGAGTGGATTTTAAACAAACATATCTTTCTGAAGAAGACCGTTCTTGCTCCTCGCTGCTGGGAAAGCTACTTCGAACCCTGCTGTATATTTTTATTTTTTTTTTCCAAAGGAGAAGACTTGATTGTCTGCTTGGATCTAATGATTTACTGGCTTTTAACTGCGTTTTCCCTCTCTCCTAAGGATTCCTCAAAAAACGGCTTAATTATTTTCGGCTTTTCTCTTCTACCTGCCTGTCTGCAGAGACACCAAAGGTTCTCCTTCCCTTTCCCTCCCCACCCCCATTTCTTTTAGGATTTTTTTTCCCTTTTCCCTTTAATAGATACATATATATATATATATAAATGTGTATGTATATATATATGTAGAGGCGAGAGTGGAGGAAGCGGAGGGAGGGAGAGCTCTGCCATCCTTTGGACTTCACGCGCTGCCCAATGTTGGGCTGGTTACCCCTGGATATGTTGCTGGTTTCCATTTGGAATTTGACAAAGGGAAGAAGGAGGATATAAAACCTGGGGAGCTCGGCAAGGTAAGGGGCTCCCGGCCACCCTTCCTTCTTCAACGGAGGGTAGGGAGAAAGGGAACGCGACTTCTCCGGGCTGCGCTTTGCCTGGAGCGCAGGGGGGTCTGTCTCCATCCCCAGGGGAGGCAGGGATGGGGGCAGCGCTGGGGAACCCCTTCTCTGCTTTTGCCCCTGGAAACAGCACCCGGAGGGTGCTTTTGTCCCCTCAGCTCCGCAATTTGGACGGATAGAGCATAATCATTCCCTGACAGGGGAAGTTTTAACTTTTGTGCATGCGGGTCCTGTGGGCAAACATCAGGCGGTGGAGGAAAATATTGATGTCTGCAGGATGCGGAGGGGGAAATGCAGTCGTGTCCTGGGGAAAGCAGCTGGGGATTGGGTTGGTTTTTTGGGGGGGAAGGCAGCCAGGAGAGGGAAGAGGAGCGGGGGATCGCGGCAGGAGAGCTGCAGAGCCAGTCGGGGCTGAACTGCAAAGTGCTGTGAAGCCGCGGTGCCTTCGCGGGCAGCCCTGGGGTCCGGGACTCCTCAGCCTGCAATGTTGGCAAACAAAGTCTCGGAAGGACAGGCAGCTGCCTGCCCCGGGCGTGAATATGCCCTTATCACAGCTCCTCGCCTTCCCCTTTTTCCTTGGAGAGGTGTGGGGGGATGAAGGGTCTTTTTTGCTTCGCCGCTTGTGTGGCTCCTACCCGGGGCTGGAGGCAACGGCTGGGGAGGGGTGAGCTCCTGATGTGCCCCCCCGCAAATGCCATTTAGCAGCACTTTGCTTCACACGGGAGGAGAAAATTAGTCTTTAGCCTGTGCAGGGCTCGGAGTACGGCACAGACACACAGACGCACACACGCTGCTCCCGGAGCTGTGCTCCTGGGGGATGCTGGCACCCAGGCACGGCTTAGCCTTTCTTTGAGGATGGGGAGGAGGGTGGCGAGAGAAGGAGTCTCCATCAGGGATGCGTAATTACAAAGCATCTTGTTCTGAATCACCCTGTGTGGGAATGAATCGCAAAATTTGTCTCTCCCTCTTCCCCCACCGCCCCCTTCCCTTTCACGGCCTGACATTCGCTGATGGAGGGTGGCTGTTGATGCATCTTCAGACTTTCACAGAGAGGTGTTTCAGCCATGGCTTTGCCAAGGCTGGAAGGAATAGGGGAAAAGCGGGATGGACGGGATCAGGTGGATGTTTCAAAGGGACTTTTCAGCCTGGCTGTGCCCCCGGTCCTGGCTGAGAGCAGCAGCGCTCCCCGAATCGAAGGCTCGGGTTTCAGATCAACTCCGCCAGGTACCTTCGGTTGTGACTCAAACCAGGTCCCTGATCCTGCCCTGGCCACGGGAACAACCCCTGTGAATCCGTTGCATAGACAGGAGGTGGTAGGGAAGGGAACATCGAGGCAAGGTCAAAGGGATGGAGGGCAAAAAGACACCCCTCCCTTCCATCCCTGACCACCCCATCCCTTCGGAGCTGGGGCTTTCCAAGGCTCAGGCTCAACCCACCTCCAGCACCGGGTCTGGCGAGTGCCAGGGCCAGCTGACAGCTGATGGCTCAGGGAGGAGGAAGAGGAGGAGGGGAAGGAGGGGGCTGAGGAAGAGCGGAGCTACTTTGACAGATGCCCAAACCTGCCTGTGCGGCAGAGCGAGAATCGCAGCGTCTCCAAAGCCTCCCTGGGAAGGAGCCAGGGGTGCTCCGGGCGCAGGGGACACCTCCCTAGCCCCGTTACCTGTTGATTAGCGACAGGTTTGCTCTCACCTGGCCGTGCAAAGCCTGAGGGAAGCCGAGAGGGATGAGCCCCCGGCACTCGGCGGAGTTGCCTGGTGACCTCCGCGGCGGAGCGGGGAGGGCTGTGTGTTAATAGTGATGACTCTGCTTTGGCTGGTGCTGAAATATCTGTATTATCTATTATCAGCTGGGAGACGAGGCTGGAGGCTTCGCAGAGCTGGGATCTCATCCAAAGTCCGGGCTGCTAAAGGAAACAAACAACTCCCCATGCATATTAAGTGGGTCCCTAATTAATTAATGACTCATTAACCCGGGTCCCACAGTCCTTGCTGTGCGGGAGACCTCTCTGA